CTGTACAGTGCCTGAACAATCTGCTAGCCCAATATGCCGCAAAGTTATTTTCTCCCTACTCCTTTCATTTAAAAAATAGCCACCAATAACTTTTGACAAAAAGTCTGAGAGAACTGCACGAACGGCAAAGAAATTTTAGATTTTCTTGTGTGTCTGTGGGCTGGAGCCATTGCTCTCGCTGGGTTATGCTAACATATCGCAATGCTTACAGTAGAGGAGATCTGGTCAGAAACACGGGACACACAAGTTGCTGCACGAAACCCAGGGCAGGCTGGGGCTGTGGGGATGGCGTGAGGAGTTAGGGAGGAAAGGTTATGCTAAAGAAAAACGACTTGAATCTGTTTTGGTTATAGTTTTTTGTTGCTTTTGCCAGGTATCGGATATCCAAGCTCTTCTGTCCCAGGTCTCCCCCAGGTTAGGCTGGGCCCGTTTTGATGAGCTCTTGCTCTCAACAGACCACCCCACAGCTTTGGAGTGTGTGTGTAGGGGGGTGTTTCGATTTGATTCCCTTTTTCCAGCTCGCTGCCCTCCCCGATCGCGTCGGAGCCCAGCTGTCAGCTATGGCTTGCTGTGGTGTAGCCGGGGCGGGGGCCGGGCGGCAGCGGGGCTGTGCCCGGGGAGCCGAGCCCAGCCCCGGCCCTCCCACACAGGCGGTGGTGCCCCGGGCGGCCCGGACGGAGGGTCGCCCAGGGCCAGGCTTTGCCCGGGTTTGCCGGGCCGTCAGCCGCGAGAGGGAGCAGCCAGAGCCGAGCCAGCGCCTGCCGTCCCGGCTCCCGCCGGGCCCCCCGGCCGTCACCGGGGGGCTGCGCCCAAAGGCCTCCTCCTCCTTCCCGACGAGGAAGGGGGCCATGCTGGCGGGTGGAGGGAGGTGATCCTGCCCCTTCGCGCGGCCCTGGTGAGGCCGCGTCTGGAGTGCTGTGTCCAATTCTGGGCTCCTCAGTAAGAGAGACATGGAGCTCCGGGTCCGGCGGAGGGCTATGAGGATAGTTAGGGGACTGGAGCACCACATGGATGAGGAAAGGCTAAGGGAGCTGGGCCTGTTCAGCCTCGAGAAGAGGCGACTGAGGGGGAACCTCATCAATGTCCATAAGTATCTGAAGGGGGGCAGTGCCAGGAGAATGGAGCCAGGCTCTTCTCAGGGATGCTGAGCAGTAGGACAAGAGGCAATGGGCAGAAGCTGATGCCCAGGAAGTTCCACCTGAAGATGAGGAAGAACTTCTTTAGTGTGCGGGTGACTGTGCATTAGAACAGGCTGTCGAGAGAGGTTGTGGAGTCTCCCTCTTTGGAGATACTCAAAAGCCATCTGGATGCAAGCCTCAGTAACATGCTCTTGGGGATCCTTGCTTGACAGGGACTAGATGACTCCAGTAGTCCCTTTCAAATCTTAACCATTCTCTGAAAGTGTGACGTTGTGATCTTGTGCCATGACAGACCATACCAAATTAGATTTGTGAGGGTATCATAATTTGAGCATCTTTGTTCTGAGATGGAACCTAGATTAAATTTCTCACTTCAAAATATTTTGCAGGTTGGTTGTTTCCTCTAAGTGGTCAGCTTAGATTTTAGTGTGTGCTGGCGTGTGGCTTTGTTATCAGACCCTGGTCATGAGCACCTAAGCAGCAGCAAAACCTCAGGAGCTTGCTTCCTGCATGCATCTCTGCCTGCACCTTTCTGACAGCTGCCTTTGGGATGAGATGGGCTAAAGAGCACTTTTCACCTGCTGGCTTGAAAGTGTGAAGAATAGCCCTGCTCTTGTGTTTGGCAGGGAACCGTGGGAATGCTCTGTGAGGATGCACACAGAGGAGATATTGCAACAGGAGTGCTGATCGTGACAACTAGTGTTTCTACTGAAAAAGCCTGGTGAAGAAATGGAAAAATGGAAACTTTTAAAGAATTGAGGTGTTAATTCATGTGCTGAGAAAGCTGTGCTGCCCACTCACCATCCCAAAAATTGTGTGACATTTCCCTGAGGTGTGCTGCTTGCTGCTGCATCATGGGCATGTGTTTGATCACAGGCAAAATTAAACATATTTTGTAATCAATGGGCTCCACAAGTAACTTCAAAGTACATGGGAGTAAAAAGACATAGACTGACTCTTCTCACAGTGTTGAATTTTATATTTTATGGTCTGTTCTCTCCCCATGCAGCACTGCCCTCTTTTTGAGGTCTTGCGCAGAGCGCTTTTGTTAGTGTTTTAAATAATTATCATTGGTGTGACAATGGCATAGAAGTCTTTCAGTGCAGTTTGTGGTGAGCACCAAATGTTGTGCAACAGAGTGTCTGTTATCTGTGGCAGAGCTGATTGCCAAAATGACAACTAACTTTCATTTTGGCTTTTAAAGTCTGGACTCATCTGAACATAATTAGGTGATGCTGACAGGATACAAAAGACTCTCTGTAAGCCGAGTGGGCTACGTTTTTCTTGCTAGTTCACTTCTGGCCAAGGCCAGGCTTTGTAGCGTGTGGGTACAATGATAAAAGACAATGCAAACACTTTTTCCTACTGTGGTAGGGCTAGGAGCTCCAGTTGTTGCGCTTGTGGCTGTACGCAGGAAAAAAAAAATCCTGCCCAAATCTGAAGCCTCAGCCATGAGCACCACTGTTTCATCTTGTTCATTCTGATCCTAAAGGAAACCCTCCTGAAGGAGTGTGGTCCCCGGCCCCTCCACTTCTGTGAACTCAGAGGTAGTGGCGACTTCCCAGGGGAATAAACCTGTCTGTGGTGCTTGCCTGTCTCGCTTCTCCGCCTAGTGGGAAAATGTTATGACTCCCTCTGTTCCGATGATTGCTCACGCTTCTGCACCCGCAGACTTCATCTGTAAACTCTTAGCAGAAAATATGCACTGATGCTGGGATGGCTTTTGCCAGCTAGGAGCTGTTTTCCAGTGTGTCACTCACTTGTTGGTATGTGGAACCTCTGTGGTATTTTATCAATGTTTAATGTGACCTAATTGTGTACTTCCACTGTCTAGGAGGATCAGCTCTTCTGGTGTGACAGTTGCAATAAAATTGGTGGTGTTCAGGAGCCTCTCAGGCATTTGCAGCTGGGTGCAAGGCACAAGCTCCTTGATTTTGCTGTATCAGCCCAGCAAAACATTGCAGGGCTGTGTGTGCAGCCAAATGCTTTATGTTGTGCCTGGTAATGGCTTGTCAATATTTAAAAAAGAAAAAGTAACTTCCAGCTGTTTAATTTGCTCTTGGGGGGAAAAAAACCTAAACTTCCTAATAATCTTCATGTTTACTTGGCACATTTGGTTTGAAGCAGATGGAGGTGACGGATTGATCTACAAAATAAATGACAAAGCAAGAGAAGAAAAAGTGTGTGAGTGGCTGTACCATTAGAGGAGAAGGTATTTTTGCCATGAGGGTCTCACTACTGGCCTTTTTAGGGTTTTTTTTGTTAAGTCAGCTTATTGGAACTGCTGCCCACAAGTTTACTCCTTTGAGCACAGCCAACTGTTTACCACTCGCTATCATCTACAGGAAGGGGAAGGTGCAGAGCTGAAAGAAGGAGAGGGACTGAGGTGGCCCCTCCCTCTCAGCCATGCTGTGCCTTCCTTGCCCACTCCAAATCTGTGATGCAGGAGCCTCCCTGTTGCACCAGCCATCTCCTCCCAGTGGCCAGACCGGTGAGTCCCTGTGTCCTTTTGACTGGGCTGGGATACGGTCCTTCCTGAGCCACTGCTACTTCAGGCACTGGCACTGAGCAGAGCTGGGTTCTCCAGGCAGGCTGGCACTGAGGCTGTGCCCTCCCTGCCAGGACCATGCATGCCTCTGCCCTGGCAGGCAGCTGGCAAGTTGTGAAATTTAGATCAGTGTTGTTGGTTCTTTATATTAACTTGTGTAGCTATCCTGGAAAGGGTTAGAAATCAGTTCTGGAAAAGGCTGTAGTAGTTTTTGGTGAAGAGTTCTGCTGTGTCCTTGTTTATAGGAATCAGAATAGAAGGATATCATGTTAACCCTTCAGCAGGGAGAAAGATTGCAAATAATCTAATAAATGACATATACAAACTTATAGATTGAATAGGTTTAGTTGCAAGTTCTGAGACTTAAATTGAGGAAATGTCAGACATAAGGTTTCTGCATAATATTTTGTATGTCACATGGTTTGTTTGGTCAGGCAATTGGACTAGATAAACATTGTAGTCCTCTTCAACTGAAATACACTGTTCCATGTTCCTGATGGCACAGCTTTCTTCTACAGGGTCACAGATTTGCTTACTGCCCCTGCCCCAGTTGCTTCCACCACCTTTCACTGTAGTGGGGGTTGCTCAGGGGATGAATGAGAGACAGGTTGATGCCCAGTAGGCTCTACTCCATGGCCTTGGGGCCAGGCATGGTTGCAGGAGCATTGAGGAGGGGATACTGGTTTTGACAGCTGAATGGTGTCAGGAAAAGCCGGCTTCTCTACCTTGCCTCATGTTTCCAGGGGGCTGCTGAATAAGTCAGGGAAGCCAAAGCAAGACTCCTTTTTGGGCTCAGAAAGGTCTGTTTTACCAGATGGTGCTAAAGAAGCTGTCCCTGCCCAGAGGAGAATCCAAAGAGACTTGCAAGAAATGTCATTTGCCACGTCCTCAGGGAAATGAGCGTTGCAGCAGTGCTGCAGGAGTGGAGATGATGTCAGACCACTGGCATGCATCATCCCTCAGGACCTGTTTGCTCAGAGCATGGTGCACTGATTCACTGACCATTCTTGGGACTGTCACGCTCCTCCACAACTTCATCTACTGTGTTTTAGAAAAAATTACAAGCTACAAGAGATTTTTGAAGTGCCATTGTGTCCTGCATCATATAAAAAAAGGTCTAATATCCATTGCAAACTAATTCAGTCTAAACAAACTGCTCTTCTACTGTATCAAAGGATACTTAGAAACATTCTGTCAGTCTCAAGCTGGAATATGGAGTGCCAGCAAACAGAACTCATCATTGTCATTTTAACAGGTGTCCAAATGTTGATGATGTCAATGGTGGGGCCTTGCTCAAACCACTGCTTCCACCTTAGCAGAGGTTTAGAGCATTTCTGATGTCCTCTTATGCAGTGAGAAGAGGATCCTGGCAGTCACAACTGGAGAGAGGGAGATCCCAGAGGGACATAATCCCTGAAGGATGATGATCTCTGCTTTTCACCAGCTGCCAGCACTTCTAATCCATGCTGGCTGGGCAGGGCAATGCCTCCTTCATACAAGTCAGAATAGCAGGGAAAGCTTAATTGCCAGGTAAGGTTGTTAAGTGTGTTATTCACAACTGAACCAAGAGGTATCAGCTCCAAACTTAGAGTGATAAAGTCAGAAACTTCAAAGCCAGGAGACTGTGTTGTTTCTCCCCAGCAGAAGAGAAGCTGGGATTAAAATAGAGATTAGTCCACACCGTATCTTTGAAGCTTGGATGCGTGCCCATAGCTGTGGTTCTGAACTGCTGCTCAAGCTGGAAAGCATGTGGATGGGAAATCTTGCAAAATACCAGATCTCATAGGATTTCTACCACTTAAAATTAATCATGTTGCAAGATTTGGGCACTGTCAAGACTTAGTACTATTCTAAAGTGGGGACTTACTTTTAAAATGAGCCTAACCAGGAATTTGAATTGGATCTTCGCACAGTACTTCTTCCAGATGCTGCAATAACACCTGTTAGTGTAGCTATAAATAAAAAGTACTGAGTATTTTTTAAAATGTGCAAAAGTACTGTATCCCCAGTACTGAGCCACAGCATAGTTTCTCCTGGCACTGCTTGTGCTTACGGGACTTGTGGAAGCACATCTAATGCAGAGCAAGTGCCTGTTATGCAAGCGTGAGCCACGGCCAGCGTGGGCTGTCCCAACGTGTGGCCCCTTTGGTTGTTAAGGAAAACTCATTTTTTCTCTTTGCAGGCTATTTCTTATACTTATTTCTTATTGCTTTTAGTTAAAATTTAAATATTTAGAGGAACATTTTGATGGCAATGTGGGTTTTTTTGGTTGTTTATTATTAAGTGATTTAGTGTAAAGGTTTTTTCAGGTGGTTTGATGTCCTTCAGACCATGTCCTAACATAATTTAAAGAACTTGAAGCACATGAGCACTTGGGAATATCAGAGTGGGAATAATCAGGGTCAATTATAGCCTGTGTAAATTCAGTCACTTGTATAGTGCATTGCAACAAAGCCTATGGCTGTGCTGTACATGGAGAAGAGCTGTGCAATGTACCAGTAGCCCTGCACCTTAAGACCTCTTGGCCCGGCATGAACTGTGATCACTTTTCACCATGGCCTGATCGGGTTTGGGGTATGTTTGTGGGGATGGCAAAAAGGGCATTCCTTGCTGTGGTAGTCTGTGCCAAATCCCACTCCCAGCTTTAATATTTTGGAAGCAATAGGACTTTTCAATAACATGGGTAAAATTGTGGGCAAATTTAACCTGGGCAAAACAGACCATTTCAGAATCTCATCTTGGTAATGACAGAGAGGTCTTCTTTGATTGCAAAGAAATATTTAATTGCTACAGACATACTATCAAAAAAGTCGATATCTTGACAAAGTTATAAACAGCTGAAAATAGGAGAATGTGAAAGGACATACCAGGCAGCTTGTGATTACAGGGGGCCCTACCACCATCTGCCATAATTCTTTCATACAATCAGTTGGTTGAATGCTTAGCATATCATCTCCCAAACTTTATTAATATTTTTGTTGTTTACTCTTCAGAGGGTCAAATACTAAATGCATTTAGGGGTGCAGATTTGGTGTCTACAGCCCGTTTCCACCAGTATTATAAATGTTGTGGTGCTTCAGCTTTGCATGCCTTCAACTAAAATTATTTCAAGAAATCTCTTAAACACAGACTTAAAATCTCCTGGATGTCCTTGCGACCCACCCAGGTAAGCCTTTAAGTTAAACCTATGTTTCTTTGCAGTCATCAGTGTTATTTTGGCATGTACTTATTACTGTTCATGTGCTATAGCATTAGAATGAAATTTGGAGTTTTGCTGAACATGGACACAAATTTGGTCATTTTCTTATTTTAGGTATTACAGCTTTTTGGGCCATTTTGAAGTAGGTGTTGTGCACAAAATTATGGTGTTCTGTATAATCTATTTCTGTACGAAAAGGAGCATATTTTCCTACCTATTATGGAATGCTATGATGCAGAGGACAGTTTATTTCTAGCTGTATTTTTTTCCTAGCTCTTTTTTTAGTGCTGTCAGTCTTGTCCTGTGTTATTAGGACAGTTTTCAACACCGCCCACTCTTACTTGTAGAGCAATGAGATAATTTAATTTTTCATTTTTTGGAGATTTCATTTGCATTTTGAATTTTTTCTTGATACAAGATGGAAAAGAAACCCAGAAAAATTAATAAATCTTGCTAATCAAATGATGCATAGTGCTTTTTACTGCATTCCATAGAATTAAAAAAATGTTTTCAAAATAGAAAATCATTCCATTGCAGACAGGTTGAAATAGTGCGTTTGAATCTTACTAAAGCTTTCTATAATCAACTTATAAACTGATTTTTTCCCCAAAGCTGCCACATTTCACTTGCAGCTCCTCAGAATTTTTCAGCAATTTGCAAGCCTATTTGGGTGTCATACAAGATTTCCTTGCAAATAAGGAAACCTGCAGGACTTCACAGACAACAAAATGCAACTGTTCTGTCTTCACCAGTCATTTTCATGTTGGTATGAGTATTTTAGCTGGTCTACCTGTGTCCAAAACACAGTCTCTCATTTTGTCCTGAAGCAGGTGCTCTCTTGGCATCCTTCTTTTGTTGCTCATGCTTATGTTGTGTCAGATGTGTAGAACACATCTGCCTTTCAACAAACAATTATGCTTATGGAGATAATGCCTTCTGGAACTGGAAATTTAGGTTAACAGATTCAGAAGCCTTCGTTAGGTAATACCTAGTGTGACAGAGCACAGCCCTTGTAAGCACAGCACCCAAACAGATGTAACTTCCAAGCTGCTCAGAAGTAATTTAGAGCATTCTCTCAAAGGTACCTACTGATTCCCATAAGGGATAACATGGTATTTCTTCTGTACCCTGACCTTATCTTTGATTGATACTATATAAATTCTGTACCTTACTCTTATATGTGTGCACATCTTTTAAGAGTGAAAGCCCAGAAACTGGCTGACTAAAGAAATGCAATTAAAACCAGTCAAGACTGAGAATGTCCCTAGTGGCAGAGTTTTATTTTTAACTCGTGCCTCTTTTTCAAGTGCTTCCGTCTTTTCCAGCCTTTGCACTCTGAAGTCAAAGAGGACTTGGCATCTCATCAGAAGTGTGTTTGCATCTAGTCTGAGGATGCTCCTATAAAACTGGAGATCTAGGTCTTTTAGGGATGGCTTCTGCAACACCTGAATACTGTTCTCACTGCAGAGCAACCAGAAAATTGTATGATGGATCCATACTCAACATTTTGGCTTTACGAAGTTTGTCATACAACCAAGTATGTTTTTCAGAGACCTCGGGTCTACCTTCATTTGCAGGATCCACATGGGAGACGTAGTGTTCCCAAATTATCTGAAGAAAGCCACTCAGATAGGGAATAACAGTCTTTCTAGCTCTGTAACCCTAACAGAGATTGCAGTATTCCTTCAGAGCAAAATATGCATGACATCTGGAAGCAATTATTTCTTTAAAAATCACTCAGCACTGAAAATGAAAAGCAATAAACTCTGAAGTTTCCAGTTATCCCAGAGTCTCAGTGACCCACACTGGAACAAAGTCACTTCTAGAAAGCCTGAGCAGGGTGGACACTCAGCTGGTCTTGGATCCCAAAGCTGGCCAAACTGTCCTAAGACAAAGAAATAACATTTGTATGAAATCAGGTGGAAAGGGAGGTTTTCTTTCTGTTTTATTATGGGAAGAGAAGGAAATACAAAGAACTGGGTCACACTAGCAGACCTTGCCTATGAAGGCACCGAGCAGAGAATTTTTGGATTTAGAGCCAAATCATACTGTTTGGTGACATGACTGTATTTAGCTGGCCCTTTTAAAACAGTCTAATGTAGGATTGTCACAGAGCTGGAAAAGCCTACAGGGAAAAACTAGTGTGACCAGGGTCTACTGGGCTAGTTAGAGAGCATGAATGCTTTGCTGGTCTTTGCAGGCAGAGTGGGTGTCAGATATTTTGGAAAGGGCAGATGGTAAAGCAGATCCTGATCGATTTAGTTCTCACTAAATGTTGCCTTCAGCCTTTCCACAGTAATGTGGAAGGTGGCTGTGAGCTGGTTTCTCCTCCCTCAGCAACATTAAGGTGAACTCTAATACAGCAATTCCTAGTTTAATTATTTTATTCAAAAGACATGGAAGACTATGGGTTCTTACCAGGCTGTCATTAGCCTGGTTTCCCATGGAAACATAAGTTTGCCTGGTTATGTTGTGTCAGTCTGTCTTCTGACCACTCTTAAGACAAGAGAAAAATACTCAATTCCTTAAATTTTGTGAAAACAGGTGGCTGTGTAGAAGGGAGAGACCCAGGAGCAGTAGGAGCTCAGCAGTACTCATGGGCAGCAGTGGACTCACCCCAGAAAGGGGGCTCTGGGGAGATATAGATTGTGCCAGGGAGCCCTGGTGGCACAGATGTCCTTGTGAAACCTTCGTGTCTCAGGGCCTTTCTGTCCTCTCTATTCCCTCCAGTCTTTTGCTCCTGCATAGTGCCCACTTGGCACAGGCTGGCATTGCCATTGCTCTGGGGAGGTCCCTTTTGCAGTGCAACTTGTGCTGCAGTGCGTGGGGCTTGCTTAGGCAGAGGAGGGATGTCAGAGATGGGACATACCTTTATAATGATGCCCAATTGCTCTGTTGTCTGACAATGTTGATTTTGCTGAGCATTTTTCTACCCAGCACCAGGGGCTGGATGAACTCCCAAAGTGTTGCACTGTTTGATTAAGTATCAGTTGAAGTCCAAGGCCTCAAGTGCCTCACTTGCCCTGACACACTCTGAGATGAAAAAAAACCTGTTGTCACTGTGTTAGACAGACAGATGGTTAAACATCTTCTCCTGTTTTACTTAAGACAGGAATAAAATGTATTACCAGGACTGCAGGAAACCCAACTGCTTAATGGTCATGAAGATCCCTGGGTACCTACTGTTCTCCAGAAGGACTAGGTGGTAGTGCTGATGAACATATTTTTGCTGATAAACATTGTGCCCAATTTGCATGCCAGCTGGATCAGCTACTTACTTGCTATTCTTTTTGCAACCATAATTTTTATCATAAATATTTTCCAGACATACATCAGTAGCTCATATCGCTTGGCTGGCAAGTCTAAGACAAGACTGTCTTAGTAAGTCAGACGATTTGTACAAAACAAGCTGACTCTGTACCCCAGAAAGTGGTCATTTCCTGATTCTTTTGAGTCTCTGAGCTTTTTCTCAATACCTACGGTACATCTGCAGGCAGATTATGGCAAGAATGTTATGACTCCACAGGCATTAATGGAGGAAATGGTATTTTGCTAGCTTGCATTATACCTCTTGCCAGTGAAATACTGTTTTTAAAGCAACTTCAGGTTGGATGGGTGTTTGAGGGAGTGGTGAGGACCCCAGCTCTTAGTCTTGAAACTGTAGTTTGCAACTGCAGTAAAACATGTCGCTGAAGTGTAGGTGTCATTCCATGTCACACTTCCATACGGAGAGGATGCGGCAGTGAAGGGTTACTCCTGTGACTACTTTATGTGATCTGTGTAGGCAAAGAGGGCAAAAAGCAAGATGGGTCTGGGAAGGAGATAAAGGAAAGACAGAGCTGGGAAGTGAGAAATGCATGGGAGGAATGGAGCCGATGTGCAGGAGAAGGAGAGGGAGCAGAGAAGTGGAATACTAAATCAGCAGCAGGAATGCAGGTTTGTACTGCAGCCCTCCAAGGGGCCAGAGCAGACCCCAGGAGCAGTCCCGGGGCAAAGGGATGGCAATGGGCAATGCAGCTCTCCCCTTCAGAGGAAGGCGGGGGACAGGACTGCATGGTGAAGGGCAAGTGAGGTTTTTGCCAGCCTGTCAGACTGTTGTCCTCCCAGTGGCGTTGGTAGGTGGATCAGGATGGAATTTCCTCCTCACCTCGGGGTGGCAGATGCATTTTTTGTTCTCCTCAGCACCCTGGAAGAATACAAACTTCTGAGGGTCATAAAAGCATTTTCCCCAGGGATTTGTTAAGCATGTGTGATGGCTTGTGATGAGAGCAGGTGGGATAAGGTTGGGTTTTTTGGGGCTGTTTGTTTTAATGCTCCTGCATTTTCTGCCAGGTGGTTACCTGCAAAGGTCCTGTACAGCAGGTAGTGTGAGGCACCCTGAAGAGCTGTGGTGGGTGAGTGTGGAGCAGTCCCTGGGCTGTGGTGGCTATGTGGTGAATGAACAGGTAATTTAATTTCAGGCTTACTAAGCGGTTAGTTTACTGGCATATCTGAGACACAAACTCATAAATTAATTTTTGTTTCTTCTTCCCGTAAAACTTAAAAAAGTAGAAGAATTGAGAAGTAGGAAGTATACTGAGATCCTTGTAGACTCCTTTTTGGTGGTGACTGGTCCAGATTTCATTGTGCTTTTGTATTTTCTTACTACTCTTGTGCTTACAAAAGCATGCTGAGAAGTCCTTCAAGGGACTGTCTGCTGACATGAGTATAAAGGGTGGTGCTTCCTCTCACTGCCATGCTATAAATAAGATGCAACTCCAAAGTGCTCTTAGGCTCTTGATTTTTGACTATAGGAGGTCTCAAATCCAAGCTCCTCAGGTACTAGTGAAGGCAGTGAAGAAGCTGATACAGTGCCAATTATCTGTGTTTTACCTTGGCATTAAAGCCAGCTCTGTGCCCAAGCTGCAGCAGAGAAGCTGTAGTCCCTGCAGGCAGTGCACAAGTGCAGAGATCTCTGTTGTTCATAG